GGGATTACTGATTGGGCTCAAATGTCCATTAGTAAACTGTCCTATGGCACAACAGCAACTTTTGAGATGTTCAGCAGTCAAGTGTCAGGGTAGCGTAATCACAGCAAACTGTTCAAACTCAGCCCTAGACCAGGATATTTTTTTCACAGCTTAGACAAGCAACATCTTCTGCAGGCGGTTTGGTCCTACAGCGTAACGGCAAAGTTTTGAATGTTTGATCACTGAATGTTGAATCGGCATCACAGCACTTAGGATACCCCCATAAGTGCTCCAATCTCATCTTCAGCAGCAAGTGAAGAGTTCCAATTCCGATGGCACCAGCAAATGTCTGATTGTAAATCCGTCTTGCCCTTTCCTTGAGGGATGAGTTTTAAATGCCCTACTGTGTGACAGACTCGATTCACATGACCGCTACCACTGGCCCCATTCGTCTGAATTTCGGGACCAAAGTCCCACTGTTAAATGTCCTACTGTTTGATAGACAAGGCTCAGAATCTGACCGTAAAATGTCCTACTGTCCGACAAAATATCTGAAATCTCCACTACCATTGGTCTCAATCATCTGAGTGTCAGGACTAATCAGGGAAGCCATACCTTTATGCATACTTTTATTGACATGTAAATTGTCCTGATCCAACAGTGTTAAAAATCTCTAATGTGTTGAAGAAGACGGTGAAAATTTGTGTTGTCATCAAAGTCCAGGACCTGTGGAGCTGCTCCCAGTTGACCTCCAGAGAGTGCAACTCGCAAAAAATGGAAGACTCACATAGGGATGCAACGTTAAGCAGTAATGTGCTGGACGCAACAATTCCTTGGCTGAGCCCTGGACCAGAGCATCATGTGTTGGCTCTGCGTTTTCAGAAGCTTTGTTGCATGATGGGGAATGCTCATGATCTGCCCCTACCCTCCCTTGAGGGTTGACAAGTCTACACGCGATTGTACTTTACAGGTTCTGCAGGGGCCACATTTGTAGATACAGGGACACAGAAGACATCACAAAAACAAGGCTATGTCACGTCCCATGAGACAAACAGGAAATGCTAACCCGGTGAACAAATACCCAATGAAGTCAGATGTGTCCCTAAAAGGCATAAATATCGCAGCCACGCTGTAAACAGGCACAACACAATAATGTATCTCGTATAAACAATGAAGAAGAACAAGAGATATTTGATAAAAATATTGTCTTAAGATGCAAAATAATTAGTGGTCAAATACATTGTCTCAAAATGCTGCAAAATGAGGTTTACAAAAATACTGTCTTAATATGGTAAACAAATGTGGCTGACAAAAATTTTGTCTTAACTCTTTGAGTCCCAAGGAAAGCATCACCTACTAATTGGTTACATCCCAGCTGCCCAATCGGGGCCTGACAAGTGAAGGTTTTAAACTGACAACTGACCAGTAATAAAACATGCACAGCTCAATTTCAAATTCCAGTATTTCCTGTTTTCTGTGTTTGACAGAAATTAAAAGGAGGATGGCTATAGCAATGCAAAGACTAAACAGCTTAAAAAGGACATGGTTAAGCACCAGCAAGGAGATCAAAATTAGAATTTTGAGAGCATGCATCTTCACTGTGGCAACATACAGATGTGATTCGTGGAATATCTCTCAGTCCTTAAGAAAGAGAATAGGGGCTTTTGAGCTGAAATGCTATAGAAAGATTCTCAGAATATCTTGGATGAAAAAGAGGAGAAATACTAACATCTTGAAAGATCTGAACACCAAGGAAGATTGGCTAATAAATAGCATCCTGTCTCAGAAGCTGAAATATTTTGGTCACATCAAACGGCACGACGGATTGAAAAAAATTATAGCAGAAGGCATGGTACCAGGAAGGAGGGACAGGGGCCGACCAACACGAAGATGGGCACAGGATATTAGTGACTCCTTGAGTATGAAAGTGCATGAGGCGGAAGAGCTGGCGAGGAACCGAGTTTCTTTCAGGCAGACCGTGATGAGAGCGACCTTCTGCAAAGGACCTGTTACATTATGATGATGATGATGATGATGATGATGTATTTGATATCAGGTGTGCTGAATGAACATTACATATTTGGAAACATGGTTAAAAACCTTAATGTAGTATATCTGTGAGGTTTACGAAGTGTTTGTTTGAAAACAATATGTCAACCGAGCAGTATTCTACATTCATGCCAACATGATTTACAGCATCAGAAGCCTTAAATTTAAAAAAAAAAAAAAAGCACAGGTTTTTAGACTTATCTGTAGTCATAAAGATAACATTGCGAAAAGGACCTGTTTGAGTCATTTATAATGCGGGATAAGTCTAATGTATGACTCATGCGAAGGTACAACAATAGCAAAGTCAGCTGGCACAAATAGAAAAATATATATTATTGAAAAGGCGATATTGTTCAGTGTCATACCTAGTGTTGTTTCCTTTATTATTTAGAAAAATAGCTATAAAATTACAGGCAAACTGAGTGTTATTTAAACTTTGTTTTGTATGAAGATACTCATTGTTTTAGGAAGTCAGTCCTCTTTACCAAATAATGGTGCTCTGATATGATGCTTCAAAAGGTTCTATGAACAAGATCTAATGTCCAGATTGAGTTTATATTTCACTTATACATTACTAAGGCAGCGTCTGTGGCCTGGGCGCTGCGAGTCCAACTCATAATTCCAACGTACTGCGACCGAAATCCACTGCTGGCTGTGTGGATTTTTATCATGGTATGGGACGTTGCAGGTTAACCTAGCAGGATTGGTAGCAGGATGTTTGTCCTGGGAAAGTAAAGACGGCCGGCGTAATGCTGACCACATTACACACCTAGTGCCGATTGGTCTGTACTATTCCCATATGCCTGATGTGCCTAAGACGTTAAAAGGGATCTCTTCTTTACTTTACTTTACATTACTAAGAAATTAATCTTCACTGTTTATTCATTTTGGATATATTTAACATGCTTTCCTTGTGCGCCATGGCGGTAAGTGGAACAATTATTATTTTATTTTTAAAATTTCTGCTAACATACCATCTGTTTACTTACCAATATTTAACTCCTACGCAATTATCTGTTGTAATAGTATACTATTATTATTCCCCAGCAATCTCTGATCACTTTGATGTATAATATGTGTATGTTGCTCGGCAGCTGAATTCATACAGCATGTTTAAATGCGTTACACTTATAAAATTAACAAACTGCATTACCACCCCTTGGGCCTCTGATGCTAAACCCCCTGGAACTTAAAGAGTTAATATGCTAAACAAATATGGTTGTTAAAAAATATTGTCTTAATATGCTTAACAAATTGGTTGACACAAATTTTGTCTTAATATGCTAAACAAATATGCTAAACAAATTGGTTGACACAAATTTTGTCTTAATATGCTAAACAAATATGCTAAACAAATTGGTTGACACAAATTTTGTCTTAATATGCTAAACAAATATGCTAAACAAATTGGTTGACACAAATTTTGTCTTAATATGCTAAACAAATATGCTAAACAAATTGGTTGACACAAATTTTGTCTTAATATGCTAAACAAATATGCTAAACAAATATGGTTGACACAAATATTGTCTTAATATGCTAAACAAATATGCTAAACAAATATGGTTGACACAAATATTGTCTTAATATGCTAAACAAATATGGTTGACACAAATATTGTCTTAATATGCTAAACAAATAGGGTTGACACAAATATTGTCTTAATATGCTTAACAAATTGGTTGACACAAATATTGTCTTAATACGCTCAACAAATTTGGTTGACAAAACATCAAAACATATTGGAAGATGAAGCATTAACTTACCAAGATGGTGGAAGCACAGAAAATGTGAATAAAACTTTAGAACGTCAATAGATGAGGGGGGAAAAACACTGGTAAATAACAGAGTTATTCCAGAAAGGCTGGGAGAAACAATAGAAATACAATGCCCCAATTACAATTTCACTGAAGGTAAAACGGAGTATCTGGAATGTGGGAAGGTTGGATGGACATAGAAAAAAAGAACTTTAATAAAGGAATCTTTTCACAGTATGAAAATGTAAGAAATAACAAAAACATAATTGTAGAAAAACCAGAGACATACATAACAGTTTGGAATGATGAAAAATTAAATTTGGGAAATGTCAATACTCTTCTATGACCAGAGATATTCAATTATGTAAACATATACTTTCAGCATATGATTAATATCACATCATTAATAATAATTTAAAAGAAATCAGAGCAAATCAGCAAAATATGTTAGCATAATATGTTGAAAGGATCAGCTTATTAGCATGGGGTTTTAATCCATTTGGTTTAACGTTTCTCACCCTACTGAAGGTGTTACACAAATTATTAACTACACAGCTCTGGCGACAATCCCCAAAGATCTTTGTAAACACTGCATTCATGAACAAAATGATGAAGTCATTACTATTACTTTCTGAGCAAGAAGCAGGTGGCTTAACTCTTGAAGTCTCACCTAACTGCTTTTTAACTTGTTTTGTCCAAATTATTATTAACTGAAAACTTCAGAAACTAACGAGTGCTCCATCTAAATTAATTATAGTAATAATCAAATTGGTCAGATACAAGTTAAAGCAACATTTTCAATCGAGTAGATTCATGTAAGAACTAGATCATCATAGAGATTTAAGAAAAACTGGTTCTTTATTAATATCCTATCTCAGATGACCTCACAGGACAGTCCAACATTTTAGAGGGTGGTAAGACTAGGTTTCCTGGCTTTCTGATGCTTTTAACGACCCAAATCATCTACAACTGGCCCTAACCCCAACCCAACTACTTCCCACGAGAGAGTGCAGTCAGGTCCCATGACTGCATGCAGCCTATTTATCACCCCCTGAAATTTTAGACTGTCCCGTGACCTGTAAATTTCCCCGGTTTGGGTTAGGATATTAATAAAGCACTGAAAAACCTATCATGCATGGAATTAATAACAATTATACTGTGAGTTGCTATGTAGTTAATGAGTTAACAACTTTGCCATGGAGACCAAATTTCAAATCAGCAAAAATGAAACAAAATAATGATTAACATTAAACTGAGGCTGACAGCATGATTACATGCCATATCACCAGGTTTTTCCGTGTGTGTATTTATAGGAACACCCGGCGGCAGCTGCTTAAGGTTCTCGGGATATTCTCTGTTTCGTTGCTGACACCAGTGATCTTCAGGATCTTCATCTGAGAGAACAGAACACATTGATTTAAAAAAATGATACAATAAAACAGTTAACAGATATTGTAACGGAAGACTTAACAGGCAGATTCAGCATTTGGATATTAGATTCAGGCAGATTCAGCATTCATTTGATTGAAAAGAATACAATGATCGACGGTCAACCTATGGATCATGATCATATTATTAATGCCCTATGAGAAATAGGAAGGATGGAGGACTTTGGAGGCAGTGAATCCACATCACTCGCCAGAATGATGGTAAAAAAAAGTAAAAAAGTAAAGGACCCTTTTCCACGCCATTAGGCGTATAGGGCATTTAGGGCTAGATCTATATTTTTATAGACCAATCGGCACAAGATGGGTAATGTTTTCAGCATCACGCCAGCCGCCTTTACTTACCGGGATTGCACCCGGTACCCACTCGAGGCTGGGTCAACCTGAGAGCCAAGGTCATTTTTGAAAAAAGGCCGACTCCTCCAGGGAGCGAACCCACGACCTTCCGATCTGCAGCGAGCATCTAGCCGCTTGGCCACGGCGACTCCTGCCAGAATGATAGAATGGGGAGTTACTGTTGGCATAGCACAAAAATGAGACGCACACCAGGCACATCAGAGGACTTGTTAGTCAATGTAGAACTGGTACTATTAGCCACCGGATGTTAGGGTTCATACTGAGAGTAGTATCTGAGCACCTATGGACATGTCTGGAGTGAAATGATGATGATCCAACAAACTAAGTAACTAACAACAGAACAGAGTGATTAAATAAATGACACAATTGAATAGATAACAGGTACTGTAGATTGATTTGATTTATTTGATTTGATTCAAGAACCGACATCACAGCACTCAGGGCATTCCCATAAGCGCTCCGTCCCTATCTTCAGCAGCCAGTGAAGAGTTCCGATACTAATGGTGCCAGTAGCATTCTTATTAAATGTCCGTCTTGCCTTTCCTCTGAGCCTCGAGCATCTGCCAGAAACTCTCGTCACTCCCCGCTGCATCAATCTCACCAGACTGTGGTGATCCATCTGCTCCCCCGAACTGTACATGCTCTCCTACAAGGCACTAATCACGTCTGCCTTATCATGCATCAGTATTCCACCAAGCTGTGCAGAGCCAGCCACTCTGTCCGCCTATTCGTTTCCCAACACACCGGCATTACTGGTGAAAAAATCCAGACAATACTCCTCACCCGTATCCTCCGCAGAGAAGCATGCCACTCTGTAAGAAGTCCAAACAGACAAATAAATGGGACTTGCAGCAGCAGCTTACAGCTGGTGAACAAAGAATAAGAAGAAGTACCTTTGTCCTCTCTCATCAACGTTCATCCTAGGGTTTCTTTTGGACACCCTTATTTCCTTAATTCACATTCAAGTTCCTGTTTGGTGATTCTCTGTGTGTTTCTCCTTGGGATGTGCCCAATACTGCCATCTTTATCATCATTGTCCAGTCACACTGTGTGCTGTTGGGTCACCAGTTGCTGTTGACTGTCTAATCAGCTCCTTTCACCTTTGATGATAAGATACAATGGACTTCATGCCTAAGGCCTGTTCAGTCAGAGAAGTTCTGTATCCAAGTCTGCCTCTTCTCCTCTTCCCTTCTACTGAGCCCTGTAGTACTGTTTCTTAGGGTCCTTCAAATATTATTCATGTCTATATCATTGTGTTTTTGTCTATCACTGTAATTAGGAAAGGTTCATAGCTGCCGATATGTTGAGTAATTATACGGTGAATCTTGTCATTTGTTATGTGGTTTCTGTATGATATGTCAAGAATTGTTCAAAAAGATCTCATTGCCATCATTACATGCCAGATAAATCAGGAAATAGACATAAGATGCCAACTAGCAAATACCAGCTGACACCATTATTGCAACATCCAAACATTAGTATGACCGTCAAGAAACAGAATGCTTTACGATGAAAAGACAATCCCTTGTGGGTTCCAGTGCCCCATTTGCACTTGGGGTGGGGGGGGGGGGGGGGGGGTGGGGGGGGGGGGGGTGAGGAATAGACAAATAGACCAATTTCTCGTATAAATTTCACTGTTGCTGTTAATTCATTCAGTGGTCCATAGAGTTTGCGTTCTACTGTTGTTCTTTCTGGCCAAAGTTTTGCCTTAATGTGCCATATTCTATGCAGTCCTGGAGTACATGCTCTGTGGTCTGGGGCACCTTTCCACAAGCAGACATGGATGATATGCCTATCTTGAATTTTGTGTACATGTGGTGGGGTAAGCGGTCGTGCCCTGTTCTGAGACGAAGGATAATGACTTGTTATGATCTGTCCAAAACAGAATTGTTGTCTTGTGCTGGGGCTGGTGGTTTCCTGATCGATTTAATGATCCTTTTCTTTTGGTGGTGTGTATATGGTACATCCAGTTACTCTTTTGTCACACCATTCCCTGCCAATTGATCAGCTCTCTCTCATTTCCAGGCACTCCACAATGGGACGGTATCCTTTGCTGACAGCCCAGTTGCGTCAACAGTGTTCACAATTCTAGTAGTTCCTCAGACTGGAAAATGTCAAGTATGGATTTTGCATCTGTCAGCATTACCACAGACTGTGAGTCAAGGTTAGTATTGAGCAGTTTCTCTTTGCTATCTAGATAAGATAGCCTTGGTTTCTGTATTAAGTTATGGTAGTACTTTCTGGTTGGCACATTGGACTTATCCCTAGTAACATCCGGGAATTCTATGTACACTTCCACATTTGCATTTCTAACTGTATTTTGTGCAGACCCATAAAGACTTGGAACCGTTATTCTTGTGGGTATCAATATAGCTCAGGGTGGCCATTCTGCATTGTTCAGTATCTTGCTCTTGCTTATCAGATATTCCTTTCACATTTGTCTGGATGTGTACTGCTATTTTGCATTTTTGTTTCTCTCCATTAGGTTTGTTCTGAATACTTTTAAGTGGACAACCAATTTCTGCAAGATCAGTAGTTTGTCTACATATTCTTTTCGCTTGGTGTAAAAAAAAATCTGCTTATTTTTAGCTGTCCTAAACCTAGATTCTGAAATCTTTTCTGTATGGGATTATCTGGCATACTGAGGGAATTTTCTGCTTGTATTTACAACTTTTATCTCTGTGTTCTCTCAGTGCCTATGTTTTGCTAGCTTTCCCCATTTCCAGTATAGGGATTGATTTCACCCCCCACCACCCAATCCTCCAGTGATGATCTCTGAGCACTTGGCGTTGCAGTTTGCCCAACTCCTCTAATGTGGTACTGTATGCTGAACACCATGCTGCTGACCCATATTCCAAGTGTGGTGGTATGCTCTTGTTTGTAAACTTTGTCGAATATTTTCCCCACTAGCTTCCCAAGTGGTTCCATTGAGCTTTCTTAGTATAGCTGTCTCCTGGCTTTGGCTGCTGCTTTGCTGATATGTTTTCTCCATGTCAACCTGTCATCAAATGTGACTCTGAGGTACATGGGCTCTTTATAATCTCTTAGGGGTATTCCGTTTATTTTGATGATGCCTGCTTTTTTACGCTGGGGAGAGGGTGAAAAGTATGGTGCTACATTTGTCTGTGACCTCATTCCTGATTTTATCTCTTCTAATCATTCCTGCAGCCCTTCTCCGACATCTCATTTCCATGGTTACTAATTTAAAAATGAATTACTCAGTAGATTTTACATGAATAGAATTAAGAACTGATGAGAGGGTCCGAGGAGAATGATGTAAGGAGTGACCAGGGGATCTGGCTGATGCTCACCAATCAGAGAAAAGGCAAATCAGACACACAATCATATTGTTACTGGTGTCGATTAAAATTTAAACTCTGTGCTTGCTGCTGATGATGGGGACAGAATGCTTATGGAAATGTCCCGAACGCTGAGATGATGATCCTTAATTCAGAATTCAAATACGAATACAAAACAAAAAATGAAGAAATAAATTGAAATGAAAACAAACTGAACACACAAAAAAAAAAAATTAAACCCAGGGCACGAAACTCACCTGGTGCAGCTCCAAGAACCAGTCTGTACCAGAACTGAACATCATTCTCTGAACACTGACTGTCACAGGTGAACTCTACATACACAGTCTTTTCTGTTGCTCTGGGACACAAGTATAGTTGCCCCTGTGATTTAAAAAATCTAATGTATGGCAAGGTATCTAGCACTAGAAGATCTATGTATGGCGAGGTATTTAGCACTGACAGATCTAATGTATAGTGAGGTATCTAGCACTAAAAGATCTATGTATGGTGAGATATCTAGCACTAAAAGATCTATGCATGGTCAGATATCTAGCACTGACAGATCTAATGTGTAGTGAGGTATCTAGCACTGACAGATCTAATGTGTAGTGAGGAACCTAGCACTTAAATATCTATGTATGGTGAGATATCTAGCACTGACAGATGTATGTATGGTGAGATATTTAGCACTGATGGATCTAATATATGGTGAGATGTTTAGCACTGACAGATCTAATGTGTAGTGAGGTATCCAGCACTAAAAGATATATGTATGGTGAGATATCTAGCACTGACAGATCTATGTATGGTGAGATACGTAGCACTGAAAGATCTGATATATGGTGAGGTATCTAGCAATGAAATATCTAATGAATGGTGAGGTATATAGCACTGCAAGATCTGATGTATGGTGAGGTATCTAGCAATGACTGATCTAATGTATGCTGATGTATATAGCACTGAATTATCTAATGAACGGTGAGGTATATAGCACTGCAAGATCTGATGTATGGTGAGGTAACTAGCACTGAAAGATCTATGGTGACATATCTAGCACTAAAAGATCTATGTATGGTGAGGTATTTAGCATTGACAGATCTAATGTATAGTGAGGTATATAGCACTAAAAGATCTATGTATGGTGAGATATCTAGCACTGACAGATCTAATGTGTAGTGAGGTATCTAGCACTGACAGATCTCATGTGTAGTGAGGTATCTAGCACTGACAGATCTAATATATGGTGAGATATCCAGCAAAACAAATCTAATATATGGTGAGATATCTAGCACTGACAGATCTAATGTGTAGTGAGGAATCTAGCACTTAAATATATATGTATGGTGAGATATCTAGCACTGACAGATCTATGTATGGTGAGATATTTAGCACTGACGGATCTAATATATGTTGAAATGTTTAACACTGACAGATCTACTATTTGTAGTGAGTTATCTAGCACTAAAAGATCTATGTATGGTGAGGTATTTAGCACTGACAGGTCTAATGTGTAGTGAGGTATCCAGCACTAAAAGATCTATGTATGGTGAGATATCTAGCACTGACAGATCTATGTATGGTTAGATATCTAGCACTAAAAGATCTATGTATGGTGAGATACGTAGCACTGAAAGATCTGATATATGGTGAGGCATCTAACAATGAAATATCTAATGAATAGTGAGGTATATAGCACTGCAAGATCTGATGTATGGTGAGGTATCTAGCAATGACTGATCTAATGTATGCTGATGTACATAGCACTGAATTATCTAATGAACGGTGAGGTATATAGCACTGCAAGATCTGATGTATGGTGAGGTAACTAGCACTGAAAGATATATGATGAGATTTCTAGCACTAAAAGATCTATGTATGGCAAGATATCTAGCAATGACAGATCTAATGTATGGTTAAGTATGTAGCACTGAAAGATCTCCCCTAAAATACTGCACTTGTGAACAAAATGATAATTAATTCATGGTCTCAGAGTGTGAGACAGATAGCTTTAGCACCTAATCGTGGAGACTCTTTGGAAAGCAATATATTATTTGACAACAAGTAGAAAAAAACAGAGGCAAAAAAAAAAGCATTAAACTGTGATTCATGGAAAATTAAAAGGTATCCAAGAGTTACCCCAATACATAAATCAAATGCATAAGTAAAATATGTACTGATGACAAAACCAGAAGATATCATGTTTTCATAATAAGCCTAGCTGCACATTGAGTATTCCATTGCATACTCAGTTTTTTCTGCTACAGTCATTCTAAGGCATCTCTACTGACTGTTCCCATGTAAAGCTGGTTATAAAGCCTAATATCCGTACGGCATCCATAATCTCATCCACTTGTGCGTGAGAATCAAAATACACTAATGTAAGATCTCTAGAAAGGTTAACCTGGACAAAAAATTCTGATGAGGTCGAATGTCAGCGAGAGGCAGAAATATAACAGCCACAATGTCTTCGTCATATTCTTCCTCACTTAATTTTTTACTGTTTCAGGTGTCGAGAAAGATACATGGTTCTGCTTTTTGCTCTTCTGGTCGCTCCAGATATTGTGCTGTTGTAGAGTTTCTCTGATGTTATCTTTGTATCTTGTTTTTGGTCTACCTTGAGCTCTATGACTATCTCCTTTTTCAGTCTATGTATGTCTTGTGTGCATTGTATAGCTTCACAAGGCATTACTCTAACTGGGAAAACCAAGAGATTTGTTGTCTTTGTGTATAATTTAGAATTCGTTCTCAACAGATCATGTCTTCAAGACTGTCCCAAATGCAAAACTTTTAGCCAAGAGAAACATCATTTGAAACTTAACTCTATGGGTCGCTTAGTGAATTACAAAAGGCAATGAAGTTCATACTAGAGACAACATTGCAGATATAGAAAATCTATTTTGGGCGAATGAAAGAAGAAGAATAGGTTCTGTGCCAAAATTTCTCTTATGACCTCATCCCGGATTTTTTCTTCTGGCAACTCCTGCAGCGCTTCTCAGAAGCCATGCTGTAAATACGCAAAATGCTTCTTGGACAAATTATTTTTTCTAAAAAGAAAAAGAAAGACCCAAAAGTGCTGAAAATAGGGGAACTGTAGATGAACTTATATCAAGAAATGAATTCACTAAACAGAAACAACATTGTTTCCTATTCCTACTTTTCATATTTCCATTACATTTCTTTCTTCACTTGAATCTCCCATTTGGAAAACAATGTTTAGAATTCTTCTTCTTATAATTTTATTCATTGATAAATATTCTGGATAAAACATTTGGTTAGATCTGTGCAAGTGTATTACCACCCCCCCCCCCCCTCTTAGTTGAGCCGCCTAGTCATAGATTATGCTTCACAAATTCCTTTATAAAGTAAAAAGAGACTGTAACAAAATGAACAACTCACAGTTCCTGAATCAGAGCACTGCAATGGAGCACCCGTAAGTTTCATGCTGTAAACAGATGCCAGTAAAAGTTTGGACTTTTTGGGTGTGCATAAAATCATTATGTCAAATTATAAACATACAAAAATGTCTTGCCATCTTCATAACGGAAATTGACTGCATCCACTGCTTTCTATGCCAATATTTTCTCATGAGGCCCTAATTTCAACCACATTCAAACAACTGTCCAAAAGACATAAGATCTTTTTTTTCTCTTGAATGGCTGCTGCAGAAATCTAAACATAGTGTTTTTCAAAAATTACTGAGGTTTAAGAAACGTGGTTTTAGAGAAGACTGCTTAAAATTTCTTGGCCAGCAAAATGAGTAATCCAGATGTCCTGAAACAGACTTAACACCCAGTAATCCAGATGTCCTGAAACAGACTTAACACCCAGTAATCCAGATGTCATGAAACAGACTTAACACCCAGTAATCCAGATGTCCTGAAACAGACTAACAGCCAGTAATCCAGATGTCCTGAAAGAGACTTAACAGCCAGTAATCCAGATGTCCTGAAACATACTTAACACCCAGTAATCCAGATGTCCTGAAACATACTTAACACCCAGTAATCCAGATGTCCTGTAACATACTTAACACCCAGTAATCCAGATGTCCTGAAACAGACTTAACACCCAGTAATTTAGATGTCCTGAAAGAGACTAACAGCCAGTTATCCAGATGTCCTGAAAGAGACTAACAGCCAGTAATTTAGATGTCCTGAAAGAGACTAACAGCCAGTAATCCAGATGTCCTGAAAGAGACTAACACCCACTAATCCAGATGTCCTGAAAGAGACTAACAGCCAGTTATCCAGATGTCTTGAAACAGACACCCAGTAATTTAGATGTCCTGAAAGAGACTAACAGCCAGTAATCCAGATTTCCTGAAAGAGACTAACAGCCAGTAATTTAGATGTCCTGAAAGAGACTAACAGCCAGTAATCCAGATGTCCTGAAAGAGACTAACAGCCAGTAATCCAGATGTCCTGAAAGAGACTAATAGCCAGTAATTCAGATGTCCTGAAAGAGACTAACAGCCAGTTATCCAGATGTCCTGAAAGAGACTAACAGCCAGTAATTTAGATGTCCTGAGAGAGACTAACAGCCAGTAATTTAGATGTCCTGAAAGAGACTAACAGCCAGTAATTTAGATGTCCTGAAAGAGACTAACAGCCAGTAATCCAGATGTCCTGAAAGAGACTAACAGCCAGTAATTCAGATGTCCTGAAACAGACTAACAGCCAGTAATCCAGATGTCCTAAAAGACACTAACACCCAGTAATTTAGTCTGGCCCTACTTATAAGTGATGATAAAATGTGGATTGTCGCCCTCAGATGTGAGCAATCACCCCCCCCCCCCCCTTTTTCGCCCCACTTTCTGCCCTACCACTTTCTCTCCTGAGTCAACTTCCTCCTGAGATATCATAACTGCACTTTCCAGTCATCCCTCATGTTTTCATCCCTCGTCTATAACACTACACCTCTTCAGCTCTCGCATAAGTCTTCCCTAATCAGTCGGTTGTCTTTGATTCACTTGTTAATAACATTTTAAAACAACAAATAAAGTGTATCATGTTTTAGCATTCTAAATAATACAAAATATAAATATGTAAACAATGATTGTGGAGATCCAAAAATATTTCATGCAAAAGTAAGATGCGATTGCTCAGAGCACTAGCTATTAGTACATTCACATATGGCTGTGAAATGTGGATCTTAACAACTGGACTTGAAAGAACAATACAAGCATTAGAAATGAGATGTTTCAGAAAAATTCTTTGCATATCATACAGAGACCACATTACAAACAAAGAGGTTTGCCTTATAATTATACAGCACATTGGCAACTATAAACCTCTTGTAACTACAGTGAAAAGGTGAAAAATGCAATGGTATGGACATGTAATAAGATCTAACGGCCTCTCAAAAACAATACTGCAGGGCTCAGTAGAGGGAAAGAGGAGAAGAGGCAGACCAAGAAAGACCTGGTTACAGAACCTCACTGACTGGACAGGCCTCAGGCATGCAACCATGAAGTCCATCGCAACCGACCACCAAAGGTGGAGAGAACTGATCAGACCGTCAACAGAAACTGGTGACCCAACGACACGTAGTGTTATGGGATGATGATGATGATGATAATGATGAAACAATGATTAAACAAAAAAAATAGATTGCACAACTGTTTGCCTGGCATATTTTACTGTATCTTGTCAGTTGTATCCCCACTATGATTTGATTTGATTTAAGAACCGACATCACAGCACTCGGGGCATTCCTATAAGCGCTCTGTCCCCATCATCAGCAGCCAGCGAAGAGTTCCGATACTAATGGTGCCAGTATCACTATTATAAGATGAAGTAATGCAGCTGACCAGGTGACACTAAATATAACGTGCAATAATCTGTGTAATTTGTCATTTTGTGGACCTCACCGTTCAATGTGCTTATTTTTTCAGTCAGCATTGGAGTCGTTTTCAGACATCCCTGTGTGGAAATTGTGTTACACCAGCTTGAATCTGAAAATGCCATGACTCTAGGAAGTTTGGAACACTTTGACTTGTCCAGCAAATCAACAGTGGCCTATTTAGTGCTCATAGATAAATGTAGAGATCTGAAGAACTGATTAAATATGAGGTGAACAGACGAGCCCGTTCCAGATCTCTTCCTGTCCTAATGGTGTGATGTATTCCAGAAAAAGAAAAAAGAAGATGAAGATAGTTTAACTTCACAGTGGGAAAACAATGTTCTAAAATATAAAGATATTTACCAGAGTCTTGACGGTGGCACAGACTCAAACTGGAAACACAAAATTAAAATGTATTAACATTCTGAGGTACTGGTATTGCCTGCTCACAAATATCTTGTCAAACTGGCAAGTGTTCTGACTGTCTTTCTCACCCCGCAGACCATGTTCAATTCTCAGGAGAGGATAGGTAAGTGTTATGACCCAAACATTTCTGGGTGCACAAAAGTAATGTACAGGAGGCTTTTCCATGCCTTAAGAAGTGTTACATCTAATTTCTATGAAGGAAGAATGTACAACAAACAATATTAGAATTTAAATTGGGAAAAAATAAGCAGAAGTTAACCATCATAATAAAAATCAAGGGCATTTAACAGGCATCTGATGATCTAGGAACAACAAGTGAAGATGGCAACTGAATGAATAGATCAACATCAGATGCAATAAAGCAAATCAAGAAGTGGGACAGCTAGCCTCTCTCTGACAGCATAACACAGTGCCAATCAGTACCCAAAAAAAATAAAAAATATTTCTTACAAAACATATTCATCCTCAAGCTATGGTATCAGTGACAGATACCGTCACTCCTAACAACGCCCTCCACCCCTCTCCCCCAAAATGCACAACAGCACGTTGTTCTTTAAGGGTACACTCTGTAAGTTCTAAGGTTCTAAGTAGTCTGGTTTTCAAGTAAAAGTAAAAAAAATGGCAAAGTTTAAAAAAAAAATAAAAAAATAAAAATACTCTCATGAAATAGAACAGTTTTAAAACTGTCTAGAAACAGAAAAGTGTCTAGAATAGAGCTAAAACACTTTCGAGAAATTAACTGTTCTGTTAACAGATAGACTTAATGATAAATAGATAACATTGGCTGCCGCCTCCCTTCTTGTGGTGAGCTATTTCACCAATGGACATGGATTAAATAAACAGGGAAGCAAATAACAGAATGAGCATCCATATATGGAGACAGTGATTCAACTGGGAGTGAGCAGACAATTTTCTTCCTCCCAGTCCTTAAGAAAGAGAACAGGGGCTTTTGAGCTGAAATGCTATAGAAAAATTCCTAGAATATCTTGGACAAAGAAGAGGAGAAATACTGACATCTTGAAAGATCTGAACATAAAGAAATATTGGCTAATAAACAGCATCCTGTCTCGGAAGCTGCAATATTTTGGTCATATCAAGCGCCACGACGGATTGGACAAAATTATAGCAGAAGGCATGGAAAGAGGCGCAGGGGCAGACCAACAAAAAGACGGGCACAGGAAATTAGTGACTCCTTGAGTATGAAAGTACATGACATGACACACTTGAAGGTATCAATCTCTAGACAATTCTCCAGCCTTATGTGCTTTCACAGCCAATGCATCTTCAATGCATTGTATCTTTTACTTGGAAATTGTACCCTCCAAACCTATTTTTTTCAAAGCACCTTAACATTTAACTTTGCCAAAAACACCTCAGCTTTCAGGACAGGGTGCTGTTTATGAGCCAGTTCTCCTCCAAATTTTGATAAAGGGCTAAGTGGTCTAGAGGCATGGCATCCCCCTCGAGTGCTGAAGGTCCTGGATTCAGGCCCTAGTGGGGGCTGGGATTTTTTCATTTGCACTTCTAGTAATTGCCCCTGATCTCTGGGTAGTAAGATCAGATGCCCGTGTGTATGTATTGATGCACATGTAAAAAAAACTTCATTGGCAGTTAGAGATCGACAAAAGAAGCCTAACAGTGTTGCCTGGGCACAATTTTAAGTTTAAAATCTACCCAAAGTATTTCAGGTTCCTCGCTGGTGCTATGGAGTTTGTACATTGCATGGAGATTCTTTGGACTCAGGTTTGAGTTAGAATTAGAATGGAGCACTTAGGGGTTACTACCCTTCTGCCACGATGTTGATCCGTTGTTTAAACTAAACCGTTCTAATTAATAATAAAGTCATGTTTCAACACAGAATTTGGAACAGCCTGAGTAACAGTATTAGGCATACTGTGGTAATGTTTCTTCCACAAACATTTTAGATGTTTTGTTGTCAACAGCTTCCAGCCAAATGCACTAAAGAAAGACACTAAAGATGTGATGTAAACTACTAGACCAAAAAAGTGAGCACAAAATACGTTCTTATGGACAGGCTTAAAATCTTTATGATTTACCATAATCTCTAAACGTCTTGAGTTGGCACCAGTAATGCTAATACAAGGAGTCGTATCTGGCTGGTTGAAATGCCATATTGCCTTGTGAAAACCCAGTGGTTGTTTCCCTTCACTTGTAATTGATGAATAATTCCTGGATTACAAAAACAAACAAAAAGTCAAAGATAAAAGATAGCTTCTGTTGTAAAATAAAATAATGTACAGTAACAGTTACAGAATTAAATCATGCCAGATACAGGTTGTACCTTCAACAGGACAATTTCTACTGCAATATAAATAATATAAAATAATAGTAACATAATTTCATCATGCTAGATATTGGTTGCACCTTTAATAGGATAATTTCTTTTGTAATATAAAATATTGTCAAATAACACTAACATAATTTCCTCATACCATAAACTGATGCATCTTCAGCAAGATAACCTCTACTGGGATATAAAATAATTTAAAGTCGAGGTAGATAACTTTCAGTGAATCAAGAGGTAAAGACAAGACATTGGTATGGGATAGGACACACACTGAGAAAGCCTGAGAGCAAAATCAATAGAATCTTTACAGTGGAACCCACAAGGGCATAGAAATAAAGGCAGACCAAACAAAACATATGGAGAAGGAAACAGGAGAATGAAGTTAAAAAGATAGGGAGGACATGGGGTAGCTGCATGTAAAGCTGCAAAGAATAGGACAACTTGGTGTCAACTGGTTTACAGTCTATGTTCCATTGGGAGATAGAAGGCAGAGGAAGAAAGAAGTAAAATAACAACATTATTTTGCTATAATATGAAATAAAGCAGGGTAACAGTAACAAACAAATTCATTACACTGAAAAGTACAATTAGATAAAAGCAGAAACTTAATTACAGAAGTAGATGAAAAAGGGTGAATATATTTCGGACAAGTAATGAAGAGAAATGCTTCAAAACTTTGTGACAAATGGTTTACCTAATGTAAAAAAGACCAGGGAAAGACAAAGATTATTTTATTGTGTGAGGTAATAAACTATGGACACTCAGACATAATGATAAGGAACATGATGATGGTGATAACTCTTTTAGTCAAAAGAAGTGAAAATTAATCCATGAATGTTATACATTGCACAACACAAGGTGTTATCAGAAATCTTGCTATTTTAGAGACCACTACCACTATGAGCCCTGAGTCTTTATGAAAGTAATGCAATTACTAATTTAAAAAATGGTTATCTGCCAATTTACACATCTGCTGCAACAATCTTTGGGACTGAAAGAGATAATGTACGCACCCCCCCCCCCCCCTTTTTCCCCCAATGGTATTACAGAACTACCTACAATGGTCCCCTATGAAACAGAAATTTAGATGCCTATTATTTTCTTAAAGCTAGGTTTGATTATTGAGAACAATAGTAACAATAACAGTAGCAAATTTATATCAAAAACACATACAATGATGTTCCGTGAAACAAAATTTCAGAATGTCATTAAATTTTCAACTCTTTCAGTCCCAATGGGTTTAGCAACAGCATACCAAGAGGTGGTAATGCAACGAAGAAATATCATAAGTTTGTTTAACACATGAAAACAGACCATACTCTTCAGCTGCTGCGCAACATACACATATTATTCATTACAAGGAGAAGGGATAGTTGAGGAATAATATTAGAATACTGCTACAGATAACTGTTTTAGAAGTTAAATATTAGTAAATAAACAAATAACAGTTTAGAGAAATTAGTAAAAATTAAATACCATATTTCCCCAAGTACAAGACAGTTATTGTCAAAAAAATAAAGGGTCTACAAACATGTGTGTCTCATACAATGGAAGAAGATCTTTATAAAATTATATCATTATTTTTTTTTTTTTCAAAATCCTATTCATGGGAACATCTTATACTTGGGTAAATATGGAAAAAACACTTTTTTCCCTTATCATAATGCTCAAGGAATACTAAATAGAATATATCCACAATAAATCATGAATGAACATAAACCACTAAGAATACAAGAAATATTAATGCAATATGTATATGAGATCTCATTCCAGAAAAACATTTGAAACATTATGATGTGGTAAAGACAAATGACTTCTAAAAAAAATTGGTATCTTCACATAAAAAATGCATTTTATATAACTCTCAATTTGCCCATAATTTTGTAGTGATGTTCCTACATAATAAGAGGAATGGCACTAGAACTAATGGACGTTAAAGAAATTCTCCTATTTCACTTAACATTTATTCTCTTTGTGCGAACTGACTTTGTTATCACTGTACGCTTTGCATATGGTACATTTAGAGCTATCCCTCATCAAACAAGTCTACTTCGCTACTTTATTTGACTTACGGATAAATCTGATAAACACATGTTTTATTTAAAGTTGAGGTTTCCAAGGCTGTAAATCATGTTGGCATGCATGTGGAAGACTGCTCGGTGGCCATATTGTTTTCAAACAATCAATTGGTATCTGGATGAAACGCACATATACATACTCTATTTTATGCTTTTAAACATGTTTCCAAATAAGCCTAATCTTCAACATTTGTGTCACTGAACACAAACAACTGGAAAAACTATTCAAAACTGCTGATTCATCTTTTTACACTGCCTAGTGGTAAATTATAGACATGAATGTGTCAGGCACTGATTGAACGGCTGAAAAGTGATAAATTGGGGGGGGGGGGGGGGGGGGGGGGGGGGGGGGGGGATTGGTAATGGATATGTGTGAACTCTTAAAGAGAATCCTCAAAAAAAAACATTTACAAATGTCACAATTAAATATTTATGCAATTTATTTATCTACATTTATAATTTGTTGTTTCTTTTGAAGTATGGAAATATATATAGAGAGAGAAAGTCAAAACAAATAAACAATAACAAAGGAAGTAACCGATACACATAAACACTGTGAAGTATTAAATCAAATACATTCCCCATGGCCTTAAAAATAGGTATCGGGTGACTCATGTCATGACCCCTTGACCTCTGTAGCTGAGGCAATGAGAAAATTATGACATAAAAATGACTTTATTAAAGAATCTTGGTCACAAGAAGCCTCTCTTAATGCTATTTCCTAGTGATTTATAGTCACATCCTGACCTCCGAAATTCTGAGCAGGTGCAAATACAGCCAATAGCAAAAACTAGGCTTCTACAGGATGCGCCACTATAGCAAGCCTGTAAAACGACTTTTATATGAAATCAGACCCAGCAGGAAGTGTTAGTTTTGAGGTTTCTCAGGGCGATAAGGGCAAGTTTCAATTATTTACAACAATAGCAAGAATAAAGGAAGCATACCTGTCATAGCTTGCTTCACTGACAGCAACATAAGACTCGGCTCTGTTTTCAGCACACTCAGACCAGGTACCTAAGGAAGAGGTAAAAAGCTGAGATATTCATCAACAAATCTTGACATATCTCAGAACTCCGTTAAAACAGGAAGTTTAATCCCCTTGCATCCTAACTCTTTAAGTACTAAACAACTCACCATATATTTCCTGGTCAGCCCACATAGTCATGGTTTAAAAAAAATATAGTTCTTACATTGTTCCACTCTACCCCGGTTGTTATTTCAACTCTTTCAATATAACACGAACAGGCAGACAAACTCCCTGGTTCTATACCACAGTGTGATAAACTGATGCATGGTTAGCTAGATGTTGTAAGGACCCTTTGGGAGCAGGTAAACAGTGTAGAGGCACAAATAGATCTCATGGTCTCAAGAGAATGGTACAGTGAGCTGTGGCCAGGGGATCTGGCCGACGCTCAACATTCTGGGGAGGGGCCAAAAGGACATATATTCAGACTGTTACTGGTGGCATCGGAACTGAAACTGCGCTTGCTGCTGATTATGGGGATGAAGTGCCTAAGTGACTGTCCCAAGTGCTATGTTGGTATTCTTCATAACTCATTCTTAACCCAGCTCAACTCTTTCTGTCCAATATTATGAGTAATAATACTGAAAATCATTTAGACCAAACAATATATTAGTTTCAAGAAACAGTTGAATGAACCAGGAGTGGTACTTCTTCTTTGTTCTTTGCATTAACCAGCTGTAAACTCTGGTGGAAAGTTCTGGTTGCTCGTCCACTACTGAACTGCAGTCCTGCTCCAGAACCTGAGTGTTGTGTGTGCATCAGTTTTACAGATCTCATTCTCTTGAATACAGACTGTTGGTTCCTTGCCTCTCCGGCAGATGCACTCCGACTTCAAAGGAAGCTCCCCAATTAGTCGACTCTTACGACTTGCTTTTGGGGAGGCAGTGGGTCTATTCTTGTTTTCCCCACAATGGGGCCCCGGAACCCACACAGGGGAGGAGTGGTACTAAAAGAGTTAACAAGAATGTTGTAAAAGGTGACTAATGAAAGGTTTCCTGAAATTGGATGAGTTCTATCGATTTGTTAGGTAGCTGTATCATCATCTTTAACATCATCATCATCATCATAAACGATTTCTGCCATTAAGTGCCATAGGAAAGAATAATTAGCGACCCAGTACATGCTGGCTGTCACCAGCTACTGTCATCCTGTGAAGGCACAGAGTGTCTTCAATGTTGTTAATCTAATTTTTTCACGGCCATCCTCTCGCTCTTGTAGCTGATCTTCTGAGATATAGTGCCTGCAATGGTATTTGTTCTTGCTGCATTTTAATGAGATGGCCAAACCACTTGATCTGCTGTTTACCAATGAATCTAGTAAAAATTGTAATTCCCACAATTTGTCTTCTTTTCTGTTTGTGTATATATATGTAGATGTATATATGTATGTGTTAGGTATGTCTGTAAATGAGTGTGCATGTATGAGAATGAGAGAGCATATATATATATATATATATATATATATATATATATATATATATATATATATATATATATATATATATATATATATATATATATATATATATATATATATATATATATATATATTTTTTTTATATATATATATATATTTGTGTGTGTGTGTGAGTGTGTAAGATTGTGTACACCTGATGAATGTATTATATTATATAATGTATATTTTTATTCTATATCAATAACGTGCATTTTAGATAACAGGCATTGGTACTCTGAAAAACGAGTGCTTAGAAGGGCCGAATGTCAGACGGGCCTGCATGCCCAATTTGTAACCCTTTGAAAATAAAGTTTGTTCGTTCATTCGTTCTTTCCCAAAAAGTTGTTTATGTATGGTCTTCAGAATATCTCCCTTGTCCAATTTGAGTGCTCCCGTAGCTTTCGCTTTTTTGTAGCCAGATAATCCGCTCTTTCATTACCTCGCACTCCTGCATTTCTTGGACAGTTTTCCCACCTGATTCCCTGCAGTGTTGGCTTACTGATGCATGGTATCCACTCATGCCACATTAGTCCCTTCAGTAATTACTCTAACTAACTCTGCCTCAGTTGTGGCTCTGTATCCATCTTTCACATGGTGTCATTACTGTATCTGTTTCAGACTTAGACAATTAGTACTTAGAACAATACATTATTAGGATATAATGTGATAAGTAACATCCAGCCTGGGACTCAGAGTTAGAAAGTCTAAAAAGTGTTTTTATGAGTTGATTGAGGACCAAGGCTCTATGAGGAGATGACAAGCAGGAGCAGAAACTGTGCCTACATTACCTTTAGCAAGAGACATCAGCAGCACCAGATCTATCACACACAAACCAAGATGTCCTAAAGAATGCTTGTCCATTATCAAAGACTCAAGTCTTCTTTTGCATGCTGAAATTTATAGATAAAAATATACTGAAAGTTCTCCAGACATTTTCACTATAATAACATACAAAAGCTACACACTTACATTTAACAAATCATCAAATGTGAATTTATATTAATTGAGCGTCCTACTGCACCATTATATGTCATACAGGCAGATAAGTTGTCTTCGGGCTCCTGCCTCTTTCAAAACCTCTTGCTTTTTGTCTGTCCAATGTATTTGAAGCATTCTTCTGTAACACCACATCTCTGAGGCCTCAAGCTGCTAGTATAATGTGACAAATCATTGTTTTACATCCACTAATGACATAACTTTCACAGCATTAAGTCTCTTTCTGACCTTAAACACCTCTTCTTTCAGACAGTACTTGAAAGACAGGCATGTAATCAAAAATTATTTCAGCTACTTCTCCTTCTTCTTCTTTACTCTACTCCTGGAATGCCTCGCAGCATCAGGGCAGGAAATGATCTCTAGAACAGGCCCTTCTGTTCACTTCATAAAAAGTACTTTTCTGGGTCTCTAATATTTTGGTGGTTCATATTCTGCATGGTTGACCTCTGGCTACGTTACCGCTGTATTTGCCAAACCATTTGATTTATTGTCCACCTAAAAAGTTCAGTAATGTTTCTGTGCCGACTACTGATATCATCACTCCTAAGTCGATCTTTCCTCGTTATACCTAGTATAGTACGTAAACATTTAATTTATGTCAAAACTATTATCATTTTATCTTATGTAGACACACAAATGTCCATGTATGACAAAAAAGCATAGCATTGGTAATAATACTGTGTTGAACACTGTGTTCTTTTAATGTTCATATTCACATATTTGCAATTAAAAATGTGTTCCATTTGGCCAAAAACTTGATTTCCTTTATTGCATCTTTGTTGAATTTCTTTATTAATTCTTCCGTCTTTTGAAAAAATGCTCTCTAGATATGTAGGATCCTCCACCTGCTTTTACTGGTGGTCATCAATTTTGATATTGGTGGCTCCCTCTTTTCTGGAGAAATCCAATTCATCTGCATAAATTCCTAATCTTGATCACTGCAATCAAAAAACGTTTTTTTTTAAAAACTTGTTGCTAACATTTGTATTGTTCAGTGAACACCACAGTACTGCTGCTTTTTCTGGGCTGACAATGGAACCTGTTTACTCAGCCACCTTATCTAACGCAACTACATTCTCAATGAAAGAAAACAGCTGCATTACCACAGAGAGTCCCTATTTGCTTTTTTTATACTGAAGCTAACACTACATTTCGGCAATGTACCAGTCTATAATTACTTTAACTCTGACTCATATGCGAAGTTTTAGTTTAATGTAGCTAATGTGTGAATTCAACAATTCATCTTTTTCTTCTTCTTCTTTTTTTTTGTCCCTTTCACCAGCAAAAAAGTGGCTGGTATGTTGTGTTTGTGGTTTATACATAGGTTGCAATATGTGTAATTTTCGGCCCAACACACCCTATTTTAGCAAACATTGCTTTTGTCGCCTTTTACATAATGCTTGATAGGGAGTAGTGGGTGTATTCTATCCCCACCCCGCCCTAAATGGGTCTTCAGAACCCATACAGGAAGAGTCCAAAAAGCTAAAATTATAATATATGGGAAAAGGATTCAAACTAATGTGTCAGACTTAATTAATGTGGTAACTATCTGTGATAAAGAAGAGTCAGACATGATATATAGAATAACAGACATAAACTCTAAGAACTCCACGGACATTTTTGTGAAAATTACTACTACACTACATGTTCTGTCTTTGCACATGTGGTGGGTCTATTCTTGTTCTCTGACCCACACTGGGGGAGCACAAAGCAGTTATTTGTACGAGACATTATAACCAACTCCTCGTGGGAACAGTCAGTAGAGCTATCTTGCATCGGAAGGACCGAGCAGACATAGGAATATCCAGTGTGCAGTGATGCTGCTTGTGATAACATAGCATAAAATAGTTATCTATTAACTTGCAGACAAGAGTGGGCGAGTCTTGTTTACTAGTGTGCGCTTTTTGGGCGCCGTGCCACCAGGGTTGTCATCACACATTTTATCCCGAATCCGACATCAAGTTGATACTACTCGATTCTTAAATGAAAAATTCATATGATGAGGAATTTTAAAATTAAAAACGATTAAATACCCCAGATACACAGAGTTTATTAGCTAGGAAATTTTCAACAAATTTTATTGCAAACTTACTTATTATATTCTTTACTTTTTAATTACTCGTCAAAATTACTAAACTAAGTTAAAAGTCAAGTAGGCTCCTCATTAGTTCATTACAAATAGTATTAGTATTAGTTCCTGGTACTATTAATTTATTATCTAAGTAAGTTTCATACTTACTAGAAAAATCGTTTCAGTCAATCTTGTAAACAGTATTCACCTTTTAAGTAGAACTTATTCTTGACAATCGTTTCAATGCTGAACTATAAGAGTGTCAAATGTTATTTTTGTCTACATTTCTTTTCTAGGCCAGGAAATCCGGATTTTTTACACCCTCTAAACCAAAACAAGAGATTAGTGGTGTAGCTCGCTGAACCGGACAAACATTCGGTGAGGTGGGGGTGGCATTTGTAGATTGAATTTGACTTACTAAAACCTATGTTTTGATTATATTTTCAATCACTTGTTTAACTTACACATTACCAAACAACAAAAACAAAATCAATAACAGTAAACCAATATCCGTACAAGGCACTCTGTCGTTACTACTGTCCCTTTTTAGGATGGTTAGGGGGGATTTATAGGTTGCGCGGTCAGCGTCCGTGAGCCTGGAGATTTAGGGTTAAACGGCAAATATACAACAATTATTTATTTATTCATTTGCTCGCATACGACATTATCACATCCACTACGAACACTGAAGTGGAAGCGGTAACTGTATTCCGATGGATGCAGACAATCCAGTCACACATATATATTGTCATTCGATTTGCAAAGCTCACTGGAGGGAGGAAGGGGGTGGAGGCAGGTTTTCTTGGAATGGAATGAATTGTATTATTGGAGAGGTCGCAAGTAGTGAGTCGGGTGGATATTTTGCCCGGGCTACTTGGACTTATTTTTGAAATGAGCCAGTAGCTCTGGTAATCTGGTCACCTTTGTTTCAGCTTCATATCAAACATGTAGCCGTATAGTTGCACGGCTCCTGTGCCAACAAAAAACACACAAGTGTTCATCACTGTCTCTTGTTGAAAATTTGACAGACTGCATTCTCGGCATATCCGTTAGCATACACAGGCATTAAAAGCATAAGACAGATGTCAGAAGTGTTAACACAAACAGTCCGATATTAGAAATGCAGTTTATCGTCGACAGAAGCAGCAGTTAGAAACAGATTAGCAGCTGTACGAACGATAAAATTTAATCACATAAGGCACCACCAATACTGTGACAACAAGCCCTTCGCCACTTTTTTTAAATCTACAGTTCCCAACTCCACGTTGTTCACAGTCGAAAAACGTTCCAAATAAAATCTGCAGCTCACCGTGTCTCGTCATGCACTCGACTCAGTAACTGGTCGACAAAACTATATCTTTTCAGCATACAAATAAAGGAAAATACAACGGCCACCGTCCGTTAAAAGCAAATAATTGCCATGACTAAAAACAGTGACCAAGCCTATCCTTCATTTTTACCAGAAGTGAAGTAGGTTAGCTATAATGGTCCCACTTGGAGTTGTACAGCAACTGCACAATGCAGAGGTGACCTTTCACCTGTAAGGCGAGTTCACAAGTAATATGGAAGATACTGAAAACCCACACCTGTTGAGAATGTTGCAGCAGGGAATGTCAATGGGCTCTGGGCGCCATGGGGAAAGGCAACATATGTAGTTAACCAGATGACAACGGGTACCACTAGAACCGAGACTCTTCGCTGGTTGTTGAGATGGGAGACGGAGCTTTTCCTGAATTCTGTGATGGCGAATCTTTACCCAGATGAACGCAGAATAAAAACGGCTTTTGCGGGATTAATTAATAATTTTGCTCACATACAAACTGTAATTCGATTAATGACAAAGATAATAAGAAGCCTTTTTTTTTTAAAGCAGAGAGTCTTAAACATGACAGAATCCAATACAAATCGTGCCGTTTTTAGACACCTTGTGGTGAGTAACGTCATAATTTTATTAGTAGCAGTAGTAGTAGTCTTAGTACAAGTTATAGTAGTAGTAGCAGTGGTGGTGGGGGTAGAAGTGGTAGTAATAGTAGTGGTGGTGGTGGTAGTAGTAGTATTAGTCGTAGTGGTAGTAGTAGTAGTAGTAGTAGTAGTAGTAGTAGTAGTAGTAGTAGTAGTAGTAGTAGTAGTAGTAGTAGTAGTAGTAGTAGTAGTAGTAGTAATAGTAGAAGTATTGGTGGTGGTGGTAGTAGTAGTAGTAGTATAGTAGTGATGGTAGTGGAAAGAAGTAGTAGTTGTGGTGGTTGTGGCAGTAGTAGAAGTATAATAGTGAAGTTGTAGTAGTAGTTATGGTAGTGGTGGTGGTGGTAGTAGTAGTAGTAGGAGTAGTAGTAGTAGTAGTAGTAGTAGTAGTAGTAGTAGTAGTAGTAGTAGTAGTAGTAGTAGTAGTAGTAGTAGTAGTAGTAGTAGTAGTCGTGGTGGCGGTGGCGGTGGTGGTGGTAGCAGTAGAAGTAGTAGTAATGGTAGTGGTGTTGGTGGTGATAATATTAGCAGTCGTGGTAGTAGTAGTTATAATGGTAGTAGTAGTGATGATGGTGTTGGTAATAGAAGTAGTAGTGGTGGTGGCGGTAGTAGTAGTAGTAGTAGTGATAGTGGTGGTGGTAGTGGTATTAGTAGTAGAAGTTACAGTAGTATTAGTGGTGGTAGTAGTAGTAGTAGTAGTAGTAGGTAGTAGTAGTAGTAGTAGTAGTTGTAGTAGTAGTAGTAGTAGTAGTAGTAGTAGTAATAGTAGTAGTAGTGGTGGTGGTGGTGATAGTAGTAGTAGTAGTGGTGGTAGTAGTAGTAGTAGTAGTAG